AACGGCGATGTTATCTGCGCGGATCAGGAGCGCTGATGTATAGTTTGTAATGCCATAGTCTTGCGCGCGTTATCAGTTAAGCTCAGTCGCCGCGGTGTTCTTATCCTGTCAGTATTCTGTCAATGTGATTGCGCTCGAAATTAAATAATTTGTCATAACGCTGTTATCTAAATTATCTATCTCCTTTCGGCGAGGAAAGCGTTCTCCGGAGCACAGCGGAGAAATCTTAACCATATATCGCGTCGTGTGACGTAAAATAATAACCCGCAGCCGATCCCCCCCGGAATCAAAGTGTCACCGGGAATTGACAGTACGGTACAACGACGAAAAAGTCGGTATCTTTAATGAAATTTTCAAGAAAGACCAGCGAGCCGAGCGTTTTCTAAAGAAAAAAAAAGAAAGAAATTAATAAACCGGACAGTCACGTGTCCTGCTTGACGAGGTGGCAAGATTGGAATTCTCGTTCAGTCGTAAAAGCTCTTGAACTTTCTCGGGAATGTGAGAGAGGCTTGGATTGTCGAACCGTTCGTTTGACAGCACAAGAAAGAAGTAATTTTTGAATATTCAGGCGGTCGCGACTTGACGTTTGAGAAGTCGCGGACACTTTCCTCCGCTCTCGTTGCGTTAATCGTCGAATTAACGAACTTTCATTGGCCCCCTGGCTTTGTGAGAAAGCATAAATGCGTTGGCAGGTGATAGGTTTCCACGTGAGCTTTTCTTCTTTTCACTTCGACTCTGCGCGCTTAGATGGTGATATATATCCACGTGATCTACACGGCCGCTGACTAATAGGTGAATACTCGACTCGGCTCGTGAGTGATCGGTATCGACGCATTTCACATTTCTGCACGAGAATAGAGCTCGCCATGCGCGAACGAGAAATCTCGATATATATTCACTCATGAAAGATACACTTCCTTCTTCGCACTGCAGCGGTTTGTCTAAAAGTCTATATTCCTAATTAATTTGGAAAGAGAAGGAGAGAAGCATTCATTTCGAGCATCACTTTGCTGTCTTGATAAAGTTCTTCTCTCAGAAATATTTCTCTCCGCTATATTTCATGTTCTCAGTTACCGTCATGAAGGTCCAATAAATCTCTCTCTCTCTCTCTCTCTCTCTCTCTCTCTCTCTTCTTTCTTTCCCTGTTGAAGGAAAGGAAGTGCGAGTTCGCGAGCCTCCTGCATTTTGCATATTCTAGCAATCTACTAACTACGCCCACTGCCCTCACTCTAATTTAAGCGTACCGTTACGACTTTGCTTATCCATACGTATCCGATAATGCGAGTGCACGCAGGCCGAACGAACGAACGAACGAACGAATGAACGAACGAACGAGCAAGCGAGCGAGCGAGTTCTGCGGGCAGTCTCAAAGGGCCGGCCCGCGACCGGTTGCCACGCTCGGAGGCGGATTTCATTCGCTCACGTTCGTCGGAAATTTCGATTTACGAGGTTACACGACGAATTTACAGATTTTCTGCCACGTGGAAGGCAACGCCGAATGAAAAACTCACCTTCGCCCCGGAACCGGTTGCCATCAGCAACGGACACTTGATTATATGAAACGCAAACATCCCGTCCTTCTGCGTCTCATTGTTAGACGGCTCTCATATGCCAAGCAGTATTAGCATCGACCGGAACATTAAACTCAAAACTCTGCTGTCCGGACTATTGCCAGAAAATAAAATAGAAAAAGAGAATTGCTGCTCTCCGAGCTCTCACGTCGAGGAATCTCTGTAGCGGGAGAGAAAAGGAAAAAAGAAACGTCCGTGGGATATAAAACCGGGACACATCGCGTGTGTGTCTGTAAATAAAAATTAGTTTCGCTAAATATGCATGCCACGTCGCTTGTCGGCCTATCCAGATCTTCCACAAATTTCGCGGTACTCTATATCTATGCGTTGCGTAAATCGTTAAACCATCTCGCATGTCATCGGCTAAGCAGATCAGCCGATATTCTACAATCTTGAAGTCATCAAATTTGAATACACGAGCGGCGCGACAGTATGGCGATGTAAAGACGTAGAGAGGGGGGAGGGGATCGTGGTGAGAAAGAGAGACAGGGAGACGCTTGCAAAACAGATCGGAAAAATTCGAAGAAACCAATATTTTCTCACGGCATTCGTTACATCGGGCGAGCGAGCAATCTACACAAAATTCAAATGCCGCGAACATCATTTGCGTTCGCCCGGTCGAAACGACACTGGAATAAATTAACGCACATACCCGTGACATCTTCTTGCCGGGGGGAGCGGCAAATGTCTCGCGAATTGGGACACGCTTGCTCCCGAGTAACGTTAGACGGAGTAACGTTAGAGGTGCCGCGATTTGCATGCGAGGGGGTTTCGGATGATGCGTGCCGTGAATACTTATTGGCCGAGAATGTGCGATTGAATTAATAGCCGCGCCGCTCGATCGCGGATGATGCTCGTTGCAGATAAACTCCCTTAGAATGTACGTGGCGCGCTCGCGCGATCACGATCGATGAGGTACTCGGTACGTCAGACGCGGCGATACGTTAGCAGTTAACGAAATTGCCCCGAGCGATAGAATGGTATCGCGAGAAATCGTTTCCCGTCGATCCGCGGAAAAAAGACCGCAAGATTGAGGCGCAATCATGTCGCGTGCTTGCGAGTGTGTGTATACGTGTATCTGAGTGCATGTAAAAGCGTAATCAAGTCATAAATGTACATACAATTATGTCGTGCGCGTCTCGCGACGTCTTGTTGTCTATTCATATTGCTAACATACTTTGATAGAGATTTAATCGTTCAGAAGGAAACTCGCTTCTTTTCGGTCGCTTCTTTTCGGTCACAAAAAAGTGAAGAAAGAGTCCCCTCTTTCGCAAGAGTTAGTGAAAAGATGACATAATCTTTCCCCGTTTATCTTGCGTTATTTATTCTTGTATATTTATCTGGCTATTTTCTGTTTTGCATACATGTATATTTCTTCCAAAACTTTCACTCGAAAACTTATCGCGTTGTGATACGCTTCCAGGTGTGTTTAAGCTACATACATTTGCATGCGAAAGGAATTTCATAATTTTCTTTTTTTTTTTTTATAGAAATTCTTTTCAACATTATTACGTATCTCTTGTACTATGTGTGTGTGTGAAAGCACACTGTCAGTGAAGTTTTTTTTTGTTAAGAATCAGCAGGTTTCGCTGGAAGTACAGCGAATTCTTCAATAGCATACTTCTGTTCCTAAAATATAAATAGCGCATGTGAAATGGAAGGATAGTCAATTACTATGAGAACGTGGAAACGAGAATTCTGGAATTAAGAAAGATCCGTTGTACGATCACGCTCGAGATTCCCTGAGCTTGTCCTTGAGAGAAAGAAGTTCGAGCTGATAATCCGTTATTCTAGCCGGGGTTAGTAGTACATTATTCGTACGGTCTTTGAGATAATCGTTGTTTCTTGTCCATCTTCTAACGAGTAAAATCGCCATCATTCGCTTTTAGTTCTTTCCATTAACTACTAATACATTGCGCGTGTCACGTAGGCAAAGCTCTCTCGGAACCAAAGGACAAGCACCTACGTGTTTATTACACACCGCCCAATGCATAATTATCGTAACGCACATCCGGCATCATTACTCGCGTGTCGCCCGTAATTTACACACGTGTATCCCAATGTATCTTTGAAGTAAGTAATAAACATGGCACTGGTAACAGGTGCTGATGTCGAGTCTCCATTGAGACGGCACGGTAGACTTGAATTCGATTTATACACTGAGCAAAAAACATTTGATATTTTTAATTATAATTATGCACATGGAGAAATAAATTATAGTAAAAAAACTAGTTTTTTATTAAACTTTACTTAATAATAATAATATTCTTAATAACTTTACAGATATGTTACATTATTATTTTATTACAAAAAATATTCAAAAGTAACTGTAATTTTACTTGGATCAATCATTTTGTTTTCTCAGTGTAGACTCAAACTTGAGATCTTTTCGATAAAGCTCTTATTTCGAATGAAACGCAAATCGGCTTTGTGATTTTAAAAGGAAAAAGACAAGCGAAATTTAAAGCTTCTTTTTTTTATACATTATTCGGCTTTCATTCTTCCGGCTGACCTGTTGGACGTCTAATTTGTTTCTTGGTGAATTCTATTCCGACCGCTATTAATTAGCAATTCCCGAAACAAGTGGATACGATATGTAGACGCGCTTAAAAGCCCGTCGGTATGTTATTGCGGCGACTTCTGTCCGTTATCTTGTTCCCTCAATGTGTGTCGCGGTTAATAGCCGCGCGTTTATTATCGAAAACTTAGTTATTAATGCGAGTGCCGAATGCACGAGCTTGCCGATCTTACCCGATTCCCGATGTGTGCGGGTTTGTCTCCATCTTAAGAAACAACCTCGATTTGCCTTTTTGTATGACCGAAACTTGAATAATCGACTTACTCAGAAATTAAGCGGAACCTGTCGTCTTTTAAGTAACGGGTAGGTTTGGATTTTGTTATTATGTACTATCGTTAGAATCTTTCTCTCTCTCTCTCTCTTTCTCGCTCTCTTTTTCTCTTTCTTGTTCTCTCTTTTTCGCTCTCTTTGCGCCTCTGCGCGATTACACGTTAAATTCTCTAGTTATCTGGGATCGAGAGGAACGCGCGACAGTTCTGGGACACGCGGGTGTACAAACTGTTCGGGTCATCGACGACGTAAGAGCATGCAAATACGCCAGAAAGTCGTTTTAGGATCACGAGTACACGTACACGTGTCGACATTGCTATTTCGATTGACGTGAGCAATGCACGCTGACGTGAAATATCGACGGTCGCTCCCTTTCAAGTTACGATAATCTTAATTAAGCAATGAATACGTGATCTCGTGCTGCGTCGGCATCCTAATGATGGCCCGGCCACAGGAGAAATAGTCTTCTCGTGCGGTACGCTTGCAAAAAGCGCGCGAGTACGCTATAATCTGCTCACTGCAGAAAGCTATAACTTCTCATCACGCAACGTTTAAGGCTTTTTGTTTCTATCGGGGCGCCTTCTAAAAATAAACCGCGAATTCTTAAATTACACGTTTGCCGAGACGCGTACGTGATGTCTGTGCGCGCACAAGCTGTGTATCATTGAATCAATTGCGTAGCCTGGTTTTTTTTAATGTATATTTATCACGATCCTATGGTACTATAAAGTAACCGAGCAATTGGATTAAACTTTTTCCTTTGTAATAAACAGCTTAATTAGATAGATAAGATACATTTAGGTGAAAATTAAAACTTTGTTATCCGCTCTGTTAAACTGTATTTTGAAACAGCCAAGGAATGTGAAAAAGAGGAGGAAGGAAATTTGCTTTTAAAATATTCAAATTAATATGGTTAAAAAATTGGGATTAATGGGGAAATAAAACGGCGGACTCTAGTTCTCGGAACTTCATGCTATTCACGTTCTTTTGAACTTTTTTGAAGATTGCCAAGGATCAGAAATGAATTTGTTTTTAGAATATTCTAATTAATACGGCTAAAAATGGGATTAATGGATGAACAAATCAGTAGGCTTTATTTTTCCATAATTTCCTTATCATATTTTTTTTTACTTCAATTGAACATTTCGATAATATTTGGAAATTCTCAAAAGAGCTCCAAAGAAAAGAATTGTACGGACAAAGGCAGCAGTTGTGTGTCCACACAATAAGGCTGTGCACTGATAGAGATTTAAAATTTCGGTACAACAACAATAACAAAGTGGCGGTTTAAACGAACACGATGAGAAGACGTTGGTAAATTCAAGACGGGAACTATCGCATAATATGTTTTGGAGGCGCGGTTTGTTGTGATTGCTGAAATTACGTGCGCCTCATTATCGGGCTCGATAGTTTTTGCCCTTCTTCCCGATTGTTTTGATACTCTCAGGTGTTATAGACTTGGCTGTGAGACCGCGTTATTATGTTTCGAGTCGACGAACGACACACATTCGCGACACGCGAGCGCCGTGTATCGTCGAGTTGCGTATCGTTCTCATCGCTCTTTAAAATATTCATTCGTATTCTCGTCGGCATTGCGCATTAATTAACACGCGTTTCTCCGGTCGAATTGTATCTACGAATAACAGTGCTAGTGTTATCAGTGTCAATGCCACGAGGGAGTTTCCGGAGGACTATGACGAAGCAGTCGGGAATAGGACGAAGGAATCGAGACGCACACGGAAAAAAAGGTTGAATTAACCAAATATCTGGTCGAATATGAACGATCTAGAAATTCCTATTGAAGTAACCCGAATCCTATTTAAGTCAACCAAAAATCTTGTTAGCTTAAATAGAATTCGGCTTACTTCAGTCGGGATTTCTAGATCGTTCATATTCGACTAGATATTTAGTTAATTCAATCAAACCTTTTTTTCCGTGCAGAACACGGGATACCAGGACGCAGGCAGCACCACATCATATATTTCTAAGATATGCCAAGTCACTTATTATGCAGGATTTTTGAGTTTTTAACGAACACATATCAAGATTAAAGAGACACTGGAATCACAATTTAGGCCGGCATTCATGGTACATTATTACTTAATTATGGCTTCATGAATCACTGATTATTCGCCAACTTGTACTTGTTTCATATCACAGATATTAATTAAAGCGGTTGATTAATGGCGATGAAAGTTTATAATTAATCACACCCTCAATCAGAGATAATAAGTGATTTACAGCTATGAATACCGGCTTTAGAATCTAATCTAAATCTCGTTTTTTACGTCTAATAATGTTTCTTGAGCCGCGAGTCAATCCGGTTGATATCTATCAATGTTTTTTCTTTCGTTTTTGTTTGGCCTTGTTGTACCGGATCCAAATTTGAATCTCTGTCAAATTTGTATCTCTGATAAGTAGCATTATTGGATACGTATACCTAACTGTTATCTTTGCAGCTTTTCTCATCAGCTTTTTTAAGAGCTGCAAGTCCCATCGGGACTTTCAACGACGAGAAAAGAGAAGAAGAGAGTCAACATTATTTATTAATTCTTAATCCTTTCATTCTTATTAGATTATTTATTATCTAATTATCTCTCATCCCCACACATATTTTTTTTGTATCTAAGTAAATTATATAATTTATATACATTACTAAGACTGAAATTGAGAAAGATTAAATGTAAGTAGAATATTGAGATAATCAAATATTAAATAATTCTGAAATGTGAGTCTTTCTTGAAGACTCAACATAACAATAAGTGACTGTTAATAACTATTTGCCGCATCATCCAGGTAGGACAGTAGTCTTTGTATATTATTATTTGTATAGTATTATATATATATTATAGTATATATATATATATTATATTATATATATTATAGTATATATATATTATATATATATTATAGTATTATATTATTATTATTTCTGGAGATTCTTCACTGACCCTTCGAGTTCGATGAAATCTGCAGGGTCAATATAGAAACAAAATTTCGACTCGGGTACTTCTTGTTAGCAGCCGTTAAAAGTAATTGCTCGTTATTGCTTCATGTTACCCGGAAAGGATCTGGTTTCTTGAACTTTACGTTCTCACGAGGTCATAACTTAAAATCAAGTAAATCAAAACTTCTCTTATTATCTCTGATAATTATACGCTCGTGTGTTCTCTATACGACATGAGAATATGCGTACGATATTTCTTTTTTCTTTTTTTCGAGTGATTTTAGCCGATGCGTCTAGAAACGCTCGGAATAAAATCCGTGAAATTGATAGCGTACATTTTATCGATACTTTTATTCGTTCATTATGGAATAATTCGAGCGTCGACTTTATTTCTGATTTCGTTTCCTCAACGGCAAGAGGAGACCTGATCCCGAGAATTTCTTTTAACCGCGAATGTTTATGGACGGAAGAAAGCGACGTCGATTATTATCGGCATTAGCGAATATGGGGAGGAAAGAGAGGGCGCGAAGAGGAACGGTCTCTCTGATTAACCGAAAGTATACACAATGCCGTAAATGTTAGAGCGCGAGAAGCCATAAAAAGCTCGTAAAGTGCCACGAGGGCAGGAACGAGCGGAGCACATACCCATCACGTTAAGTCATAACATGTTCCACCAATTCCGTGTCCAGCCCCAATTTTCTGGCTTTTGAATATTCCGTTTTTATTAGGGTTCGATTGCCGGTATAAAAATCCTGCGTAATTTTCTGCCTGACTAGCGCGACGGAGATACACGCGAATGTATAACTATCACGTCGTCGTGTAAATCTGATTTTACATTGTATCCATTGCGGGTCACTAAGTGTCTCTCCGTTTAACCTCCTTCACATCGCACGGCGTGCAATATATCATGTATTAGAATTCGTTACGTGTCCGTAAAATTTCCCCGCGCAAAATAAATGCAATGTATGTATCATGACGCACACGCCGCTTTTCATCGGGACGATATACTTTCTCACTGGCGGCTGCTACAAGGATCAGCGCCGCATGTCTAATTGTATCATTCGCGCGCTAATTAGAGCACGTTTTCCACGCTTGTCGAGATGAAAAAGCGAAACGTAAAGAGTCGGTGGCGCAATCCGCGCGCAATCAAGTTCACAAATCGCGCAACGTGTTTCGCAAGGAGGACGAGACCGTTCGGCACTCGGGACTCTTTCTGCGATTTCACGATACCCGTTCGACTAATTAATGCCGGGAGATCTGTTATTTCGTCTCTCTCCGATCACAGTTTTTAAATGAGAGCAAGGCCCGTCCCGGTATAACGCGCTTCGTTATTTTTATCGATGGTGCGCGCTATCGTTGGCAATCTAGGCTTTTGGAGACCGCGTGCGCGCACGATATTTAAATGTAATAAATCAGTTGTGAGCCCGCAGCTAATCGAATTATTCGCGCTAATTAGAGCAGCAGCTGCATTTTTGCTACACCGTCGTGCTGTGTTACGTGTCTGTGACAATATTCGTGAAGTTTACTTCATAGTCGAAGTAAGAGTTATAGACTTCGAAGATCGAAGTCGAATCGTAGATGTGTAATAACAGATATTTGCCTTCTCGTATTTCTTCGCGATTTTTTGCTCGACATAAATCACTAAGTGTGTAAAACATCGCAGTGAGTTACTTTGTAAAGCTAAATATCAGTTCTTTATGATTCCTTGCGTTCCTGATTAATTAAGCTACGTGGCTTATAATTAGCTAAGAAACATTCTCAAAATTCGTTCGAATGTAATCTGAAATACATTTGTGTGACGTATTCCACATCAAAATAAAAAAATTTAACCTCATTTTTAGCGAAATCTTCTTATAGGTGGAGAAGATATTGTAGTAAAAATTACAACAAAATTTTTGTTATCTCGGACTATATAGAGATTATGATCGAAATTGTGCTATATATTTTTATAAAAAGAATGTTACACGTTTAATTATATTACAAGATAATTGTAATTATTTTTAATGTTTTGTGTCATAATAAAAAATAGCTAAATTTTATTACAGTAGAAAAGAATTTTCACAATTTTCTGTGTTTTAAAGTCCATATTAATAGTCGCTCCATGAAACTTGTCTTACGTAAGATACTCAAATCTAAATTCAGAGTTGTATCTGAACTTTATGATTGAACCATATGAAATTTGCTTGTAATCGTGATATTCAGCTGAAAAATTCAAAGCTGACGCTAAATTTAAGTTGGGATATTTTATCCGAAGTAAATCTCAAGTAACGACTATCAATAGTTTTTAGTGAGGGATCTCTCGATATATTCGGTAAAATCTCAGATTTACTATTACTAAGGTAATTAATTTTGTAAAAAAAAATCTATTTTTTAAACGTAATTTTTATTACAAAAGTTTCTTCACGCGTATATAGCCTCAAGCGTATTCTTCCAAAACCAAAAGGGAAATATTCTAAGCACAGCTTTCATCAGAAGAGAAATATTCTTTCAATAAAATTTTGGTTTAGAATATGGGGTTGCAGGAAATAGCAGTTTGCAGTTAGAAGCTTTCTCGAGTGCGAGAATATTTTCCTTTTGACTTCAAAAGAATCTGAAGTTTGAGGCCAAAAGGATACCGCTAAGAATGATGTTATATTTTTTTGGGTGCGCGTCTTAGAGCGTCTGCTTCTAGATTTTAGCAACGAGCACGACAATTCCTTCCGCGTTTATAGCGCGGGGCGACGCGTGTGGAATTCGGTTATTTCTTTGTTTCTGCGGCGCGCACGGCGGGATGCGCAAAGAGAAATGGGGAAAATGGTAATGTCGCGGACGAAGCGGGTACACTGGGTCAGATGGTGATAAATCGAGTTGCCAGGAATACGCGCGCCGCGAATGGCAGTACCGGGACGATGCGCCGCGAGGAGTCGAACGATCCTCCGCTGTGCTTTTCAACGACCGCAAAAGGGCTGGCTGACATTGTCCAGGAATGCGAGGTGCGCGAAGCGCAACTTCATCGAAGATCTGCGATTCCGTGGGCGATCGAAGTCAGGGTTACCGTATATGTCACAGCGAGAAGGGGAGCCTTTTACGGCGCGAACCGCTTTTTTCGCGATTTAGAACGGTGAAAAACCAGAAAGACGTCGCTGACGCGACACGACGATAGTGTTTTCTTGCTTCCGACTCGAGCGATCCGTACTGACGCTACTTGAACGCGTTACACGCGTGGAAATGTGTGGTTGCAAATATTTTCATTCTCTTCAATCCGGTTCCATCAATCGAGCGAAATGCATTGAGTTTTTGAAAGGTGCTATCGAGGGGAGAGAGCGAGCCAGTTATTTCGATGTGCAATTTCGAGTCGCTGCTGAAACACGAGAAATACTTCTTTTCGACATTCTACTTGACGTAGATTAGAAAGCGTAATTCGTGTCACGCGAATCGCGAGGCTACGCACATAATTGACAATTTTCACGTCGCTCACGCGACATTACTTTGTAATTGTCCGGGTGCGTCGGAATTTGTTTCCCCGGCTTTTCTTTCGCAACCAGATTCTACTCACGTAAAACTGCGCTTCGTAAATATTTTATGTCGCCAAAACGCGTCGGAGGATCGTTTGAAAGTTGGAGCGCGCGCGTCAGGAGTCCAGGTGTCGGGAGAAATTTACATTCGCGAGTTTTCCTTTCGGGAATATCAAAGATAGCGACAGATCTTGCTTCTGATACCCGAGATATGCGTTGAATTCGCTCGTCTTGTTCCGAGAGAAAGAGAGAGAAAGAGAGAATTTGTGCAGAATCAAAATTGCAGTCCTTCGCCTTTTGACGTTGGGTCTCCGGTTTCGTTGCGGTCGCATTCTGGTGTAACTGAAACGAGACGAAACTCACGAGGGGCGAGAAGAGACGCGTGTTTTCCGTTGGCACGATTACGACTCTCTAGGAGGAGGATCGGCCTCGGGGAGCGCGCGATATCGAAAGGCAGGTGCCGGCGTACGCCCTACGCACGTTAATAATCCTCGACGCCGCGTTACCTGTGCGCTGTGCGCAGCCTCGTCTCGTTAATTTTGCGCTCGTGTTCCAATCCGCAATGGCGCAATAGTTTAACGATCGCGCAACTCCTTGCTCGGCGAGGTCGCGGCGGCGCAACGTGCATCGTAACGCCGCTTTGAAGGAAACCTCGCGCTCGCGCCGGTGCAAGTTGCGATATCGCATTATCTTTATTTCCGTGTGACATAATTCGGCGGCATTAAACGCACTCGTCAGCGCGCGCATACAATCGGTTTCGCGTTGATTGCGCGAGTGGAGCGCAACGGAGGAGACGAGACGCGTCCGTCGCGAGAGACGCGCTTGCATTCGAGTTTAGCGGGATTAACACAACTCGGTCTGTTATCCGGCAACTAAACCACTAATTAAGCAGCTATGCGAGCCACGCCATCTTTTTTTTTTTTTATTACGCCTTTTATTGTATAGTTAGACAAGGCCGGAAGACTCCGCAAACTCTTTTCAACCGTAACGAATGTACTTTATAATTATTAGTAAAATCATAAAAAGGAACGTATAATTTTTAATAAATCACGCACAAATCCGGGACGGTGCAATGGATCGAGACGTGAATGGCTGCCGTTATCCTTTCTCCGTAAATTGCTTTTCGTATTTGTGGAATACTTTATGAACAATATTTGTGCTAATAATATAATACGTACGATTTGGTATATATTTATATTGCCATTTATTACAACCCAATCTAACTTTTGCAATTTTAATGGTCGCTTTATCGACTTTATCGGTGAGCACTTAAAAATGAAAAATCGGTATTTACCATTACAGCTCGGGTTTATTTACGACTTGTTCCGTTAAATAGTGCCATTGAATTATCAGTTTAAAGTAACTGAACAACTTTGAAGAGGAAAGTAGTTAACCGAGAACCGAGTTAAGCTGGTTTCCGAGAAAAGAGGGACAGAGGGAAAGAAGGGAGAGAGAGTGTGTGTATTAATAATAATTTTAAATTGCTCTTTTCGGGGTAGAAAGCAACTTCCGATTACTTTACAATTTCTTCCTCTTTCTTTCTCTCTTCCCTTTTCTTCTTTTATCAAGAGAGGGAAAGAGAGAAAGGGGAGAGGAGGAGAGAGAATCGTTAATATTTTTCTCTGTGACAGAAATTTTCGAAATACCGACCTGTAAGTAAGGACTCGCGGCGGACAGGACCAGGCGATGCGCGAGGAACCTTTGACCTCCAGGGCAGCATAGGGCCACGTCGGCGAATCGCTGCGACAGCATGGCCTCCTTGAGGAAGTCCCCGACGTCCGCCGCCCTGCCGGAAACACGAATCACCTCTCCCATCATGTTCCACTTGCGTGCGGTATGCGTGTGATTAACGATCGCTCATTAGCAGTTCACTCGGCACTCGAGAGCGACTTCGCGACACTTGGACGAGATTCGTGATTCCGCGCGTGACATTTAGCACGGATCGGCCATCGTTGACTTTTTAAGTCCTATCGGCGACCTATCGTGTCCCCGTGAGAAAAAAGAGAGAGAGAGAGAGAGAGAGAGAGAGACGTGAAAAAGTGTTCCTGGCGACGTGTCGAATTCCGCGATGCGGTTCGCGCGCGGATTTTTAACACGTGATCGATCGTTCGTTTGATCGACTGGTCGGTCGCACGATTGCCGGTGACACCTGTGTTGGGCTGTCTCGCGGCGTTGAATTATGACCGCGTGATTATTGGCACAATTACCCGCGATAACAGTGTTGGCTTCCGCTGTCACTTTGATCGGGCGCGAGATTTACGGCCGCGACCGCGTTCTCTCCTCTCGATATCCCTTTTAATTCACATTCTACCAGACGCGCGCGCACGCGAGTTGGAGTGTAGATTGTCTTGCTCAGGGGGGGAGGGGATCTCGTGCAAATTAATTAATTGGCCTCGTCGCGCTTCTTATCGTGCTTGCCGTTGAACCAAGTGACGCGCACTCGAATAGAAGCCAGGTAGAAGCTTGAGATTCCCTCGGATTCACCGCGGCGCCGATTCCCTTTTCTCGTTGGTTAACGAGCGACCGTATGCACGTTCTTGTCATGTCCACCGCAGACTCTCCTTTATAAGAATCTTCTTCTCGTTGATTGACGACACTTTCTTCGTCGTCATTGTGGCTTCGAGGCCTGTAAGTCCCGACTGGCTTTTTCCTCGCGCTCGCGGCTAGCCGTGCGCGAGCGCCTTTTGCAGCCGCGTTTACCGCAGCCTCGTGTCGCTCGTTATTACGCGATACCTCGATAATTCCGTCAGAATGCCGTCGGACGAGTCGATTTCACGACAAATTTATACGTCCCGCGCGAGCGGCGCGCACGCTTGTCTATAGATCGGCCGTTGAGATCGCCTTGTTTCTCATTTAATAAGCGGTAACGATTGCTTTTCCTCGCCAACGAGAACTGCTCGATTATCGCCGGCTGAATCTCGAAATCGTTCACTTTCTTCGCGCGTGGATCCTCTGAAATCACGATCAGAAAGCGTTGCGGGACGACCTCTCGTTACTTCCCATTACGTGAGGTTACGTTACGATACGCGGTCGCGCCACGCGTGTTACGCGCTGATCATATTATATCAGCGTGGTCCATCGTGCGAAACGTCCCATTCACAAGGGTCTCGATAGTAAGGATTGTCCGAAGCCTCAAAAGACAATAAAAGATACCCCGGCGAGAAATCGTAAGTAGATCCTTCTCTCGAACAGGTCGCACTGGTCAGCGTGAATAATTAATTAACCGAGATTGCTTCACCAAAAATCTCCCGTTTCTTCAATCAGCAGGAATCCGCAACTACGTTTCTCTCTGTTTCTAATCTACCGTCGTCCCACCGAAAATCATTCTCCCAATCGAGTCGGCCCGATCTGTCAACCGGTACCCGCTTAAAATAATCCGACTCGGGCAATCCGGTCGATCGACTTCTCTCTTTCTCTCGCGCGCGAAATGAAGTCGTCCTGCCAACAGGACTCAGCAATTAGACGAGATTGAACGTCTTCGTGGTGGCATTCATTCGGAAGACCGACACGATCTACGGAGGAGAATTCGGGAGGTAGTTGTTGTTGTTGTTGTTGTCGCAGATGGGAACTGCGATTTTTCCTGTCCAAATTTCTCCCTCTCTCTCTCTCTCACGGTCGAAGTCTTGCTCTCTGCTCTCGCCGTGCAACGGCGCGGAGGAGGCTGGGCGAATCGCGCTCTCGCGGCGCTCACGAGGAGAACCCGTCGCTGAGCGACTCAGCAGGGCGACTGCCACCTGAAACGCTCAGGTGAGCAGAGACCACCTCTGCCACCGAGAGTGGTCTCTCCGCAGACGGAGAGAGCATTCGCAGGGAACTCCTCCCATGTCGCTGCTCTATCCCTTCCTCCCCCCTCTCTCTCTCTCTTTCTCTCTCTCTCTCTCTCTCTCCTTCTCGAGGAGAGTCACCTGTGTGTACTCTCGCGTCCACCGTATGCACGCATCCACGTATTTCTGTACCACTGCGTACTCCCGGCGGACGTGTTCGTTAGCGACGGTATCTTTAATTGTCGTAAAATGGCCGCGGGCCCGCTGCGATGATGATGTTCTTCTCCACGGGCGCTCGTTTAAATTTCCGAAACGCGCGTCCTGGGCGTCCGTCAATTCCATCTCGAAGGCGATAATCGAAGCAGCAGTTTGTGCCGTAATGATCGATGGTGAACGAAGAGATTGCGAGAAATCAGAACGCGAAGCGCATCTCTCGGCGCTCCTCTCTCGCAGCGACGGCAGTATCCATGAGTTGGAAAATCCGCGGACGGGAACGAATCGCGAATAACTTCAATGACGGGGAATGTAGACACGGATGGGATTCATCGTGGCTCGCATGCGACCTGATTCTGATCGATTTTTGAAGAGCCGCGCGGACAATTGGGTCGCCGAGATGTCGGTCGACCCGACATTAAAATTAATTGCTGCGCGAAGCACGGAAATATATCTGCGCCGTGTATTGCCTGACGTTCCAATTCTGATACAGAGCGATTCAAGTGTATCTCGTAGAACGTTTTATGGCACCATACGTGCATCCCTTCGGGGGCCAAATCCATCGGACGATTGCTGTGTGCACCACAGAAGCGTGATGCTTATTATCCTTATTCCGCGCTTAGAATCACCGTAAAATTGCGCTGCCCACCTTTCGGCCATCGATGCGCACTGAAAGCAGCTCTCGCCGCGTTCCCGACGAAATTGCTTTACGATCACATTCGCGCGCACGATTGTACGAACGGTGACTTCTCCGTAAAAAGATCAATTCGACGTCTCCCGAGAGCCAAAGTATGTTTCTAGCCGAGCACAGCTTTGGAGTGGCGTGTGCAGGCCGTGGTCCTATCACTCGTAGAAAGGTGAAGGCAGATAGAACGGGGAGTATCAAAAGCAACTCGCGAGAACTGGCTGCTTCGCGCGGGAATTCGTGTGCTAATGTCAGCTGTCAGTGAGTTAAGCGGATAATCGTTAGCGCTTTACGTTCATAATCGCCGGCATGGCATAATAAGAGAACATGAACGTCGAGGGAACGGACGCTAGGCGATCGCAAGATCGCGATTTTCCGCGGCCGCGCCACTGACAGCCCATTCATCGCGTGGAAGTATTCGTGTAATTGTTTTCCATAATGAAAAATGTGGGAAAACTCTCTAAGATAATTAGCAAACGAAAGTCAGAGTTCGAGAAGTCAAAAAACGCGATTGACAATTAAAACATTTCCTAAGAAGAAGTTTAGGGAGCTACAAAGCGAAGCTAGAAGAACTTATCCCGCACGCCAATTTTTGCGTTAAAATATTTCATATTTCCAATCGTGTTTCGAAGGTCGTTTGTGTGCATTTGCGTCGATATGCAAGAGCCGTAGGAAAAATTCCAGAAAGTAGTCGGTGCGCGCGCGCGCGCAAAGTCACGTGTAAGGCCGCAAGATTTCCTACGATCCGCAACGAAGCTGAGAGTTAGTCGTTACACACCTCGCTTTTATCTATCTGCCCGAATGTGGCAATCACGTCTCGTAGCGTGCCTCTGGGAATATGTTGTATATAATTAATTCCCCAATAATGGCTCAAAGCCGCCCGACGAATTTAAATCTGAACTACTGATTTACCAATACTCACGTATGTTCAAACGTGTTATCGAATTAGAGGTTTCGCTCCGTTCCCGCGCTTTTACAAGAGCAATCTGGCAGGCGATCCGAGGTTCTCTAACGAAAAAGTTTGAGACCTAAATTACCGCGAGGTGCGCATTAACTTTTTACTGGCCGCCCATTAGATCGTGTCGCGCTACGGATCTAGAGATCCGCTGATTTGCTTTGCTGCCAAATTACATTCATCGAACTTGTAAATCCGTTGAAAATTGAAGGATTTAACGGTGCATTGAAGTCGGTAGCGCGTCAAGCTGTCTAATTTTATCGTCTTACGCCCGTTGTATTTCCGCATGGGAATTTTACAATATTCGCCGCGTGATCGCGCGACGCGGAATTTCTGCGCGAGATATCGTGATACGCGCGGCATCTTATCTGCGCGTAGACGAATGTAAATCGACGCGGCACCGAATTAGTAGGGAGTGTCTAAGATAGGAATGACATGTCGTTGGATATCATTAGCCCAGTTTCCTTGATTCTAAAATTACGTGATGCCCGCGAACGAGCGACGATAACGAATGACGCTCGCGACGCGAAGAAAAGCATTTTACGAGCACGTATCGTGATGATCGAATTATGATGCGGCCCTTTCGCATTTATGGACGCGACATTTTTCTTCACACCGGTAGTTACACGCTCGGCTGCGCGGAATTTATATCCATTAAAGTCCCCCGAGATACATTCGGGATCGCGCTTATCTGATTGATGAGTTCCGGAGAGAATCGCCCTTGGTGAAATTTTATGTGACTAAATCGGCCTTTGATGTGGAGCCACCTGTGCGACTGTGGCTAAGTATGCCGTTACATTTGTGCGTAAAAGACGGCAATGATACTCCTGATACTCGCAAATCATAATTTTATGCGTACGAGAGTAACATGTGAGGTATTTAAAGTATGATCTATCAAACTGAAATGTTTTTAAGTTTTATCAGTTATACACGGAGCTGTACGCGGAGAGGAATTTATAATTTTCTTGTTTTATATAAATTCTTTCTAATTTTATTATGTTCCAATTTTATTATGCTTCTAGTAGTGCAGAAATAGACCGTCTACCTTGTTAAGTAACATAGTAAATTTCTTGCTAAGGAATATATTTGAGTAAACTAGCTTAAACTACCCAGCATTGTCCAGGTTATTAAAAAGTGTGTGTGTCAAAGGGAAATCACGGGAAACGAGTAGGGCGTCCAGGTTTCGTGGTAACTTATATTTATGGTCCTAAAGAACAACTATGCAAAATTTGGTCTACATCGATCAAAAGGTTTGGAAGTTTATAGAAGACGTATAGATAAACAAACAGACATTCTAGTTTATACATTATAGATGATAATAAATTTCATTGTAAATGTAGTAAATTTTTTGATAGTACATTTCACTTTCTAAAATATAAATACTACATATGTTGTTTAGATGTTTTTGGGTTTCAAATTTAATTTGAATTTAAATTTAATTTATTTATTTGATTTATTTAGGATTGACATTTAGAAAATAATAATAATAATAATAAAGGATAATAAATTACTGCAGAATGTCATCTAGTTCTTGCTTACAAATTTCTTATAATAATTTTTACCATAAAATTCTCTCCACGTGGAAGATTGTCATAGAGTGTTTTGCAAGCGATTCTCTCTCTTTTTAGAAGAAGACGTGTCTCGCGCAAAACCGTTGAATCCGGAACAAATGTCGTTTTTAAAATTTTGCCGTGATTAATTCAGTTCTGTAATTGATTCGAAAATTTCGCGAACAAGTCGTTTCAAAAGAATAGAATAGAGTGCCGTTATCGCGCTTCATCATTACCAATTCGATGCTGCTAATGATCGCGAAATAGCAAAGCGACACTTCCGACCGCATATCCACACGCATTTTTCATAGAGCGCCAAATTGATGTGGTCGAGCCCGTGAATTAACACGTGACAGAGGATGATAGACGAGTTGATGATTCTGCTTTCCGATCGTCTCCAATTCGCACAATGACCCTACGAACACGACACGTTATAACGGAACAGTCGTGAAATGTACAAATGTGTTTTAAATACCTCTGCTATGTGTTCAGCGTGCGCGAATAGCCCTCTCTCTCTCCCTGAAATTGTTACTTCTCGTCTTCACGATCGATCGTCCGTCGTTTACGAAACAAGAGATATACCCGCGATAAATCCGCAGACAAGAAAAACGATCGTCGTTGGGTTGCCGCGGATCTGCGAAATTCATAAAGGTGATAGCCGATCGACCGATTAAACGATCGATCGATCTGTCTCACGGCGAGGCAAACGGACGATCGGCTGTGTACGGTAACTCGTCGCTTTTTTCGCTCTCGTGTGAATAAAAATCTCATTGATCAATGCGCCATCGGCGAAACCAAGGCGCACACGGCAAACAGAGATCCCGCGTGTACTGCCTTCGTGTGGCATGCGTGAACCACGCACGCACGCTCGGTGAACGGACACGTGATCTCGCCGCTAAATCCATTAGCACGCACGGAGAGAACGTTTTCCAGGCTGGTTATCGGGCAAATATTGTTCCGTGGTAAGTTACCGTTTTACCCACATGTCGACCCCGCTCGCTGACACTGTTTCGCGCTACGTCACACGCCGACCGACCACACCGGCTGTCTCCCAGGGGTTCCCAAGGGGACGTCACCTCCTCGCTCGCGCGGGGACGCTCGTTTGAGCTCGGTCGCTGTTCCACATACGACAGATGTGTATTTTTACGGTACATGCCGTTACTTCGTGTTCTCGCATTTTTACCAATTTCTTCGTCGAATTCCTCGTCACGTCGAACGCGATTGTTTGGAGAGAAGCGAGAGATTGGGCGCGGGCTTCGCTTCGCGGGATGCGTTCGACAGGTTCATCAATCAGAAAGTGGGATTCTTCTACTTGATTGATTCGATTATACAGCGGAGTATTCTCGGCAACTTTGAGGATCTATTTAGATAGGAAAATCAGGTAACTTTCCCTTCTCTCGTCGGGAGAGTTCTGCGAGTATCATCGGCGCCTTTCCCTTCGAATATAATATCTGAGATCTCTTCCGGGGTCAGAGTCAGGTGCGATTTGATCGATTCGACGTTAGACGAATGCGGCAGGTAGGTGCCGTTCTCGCGCATTCGACCTTGTATTACATATTTCACACTATTCTTGCCGTTCATTGTT